GTGCCACATCATTATTACCTATTGGATATCCATGCAACTCATCTCATTCTTCCATGCATATCACTTCAAAAATCACTCTCTTCTCTCCTCCCTCTCACTCTCGGCCGAACACAACACACACACACTCACAAAAATCCATCCCATTCTCTCTAGATCACTCAAGAACACTCCTTCCTCCCCACTCCAAGAATCTCGAAATTTAGGAGCTTTCAAGAGGATCTTGCAAGTTAATCATCATTTTAGGTAAGTTTTTACTTATATCCATGATCTAGCTACTTTACTCCATCAAAAACCTCTTCTAAATCTATTCCAACTTGTGATCATGCACCTTAGAAGTCACCAAACTCGAGATCTACCAAGGAAAGGTGCTAAGGCCGAAAAATCACTTCATTTTCTTCCATCTTTTCTTCCAAAAACCGAAAGCTTCAAACAAGGTGAGCTTCATACCCCCTATTTTCGGTTTTCATGAGTTTTTTTTTGGGGGGGGGGGAATACAAGTGAAAGTGTAGATCTATATGTATTTTGTATGCTTTGTATGATTCCATGCTTATATGTGTGCTTTTTGTGTGTTATAATGTTGGATCTAGCCATAAAACCCCTCAAAACCGAGATATACCTTATGTTAAAAGACTCTAGCATCAATTATATTTCTACATACAAAGTATTTCTAGAAAAATGGCTAAATGGTTTAGTAACAATTTCTTTGGGCTAAAAACACCATTTTTGGACTTAAAATGCGAAAAATACAAACTTTAAGGGCCTAAATTGACAAATCACGAATTCTGATGGTTGAACTATGTCAAAACAGTTTCAATAAAGCAATTTCTGGAAATATACTCATTTAGAGGATTAAAAACATAAATTTCAAGCTTAATGGGCTAAAAATGACATTTTAGGCCCAATGAGGCCCATTATGCGAGATTTTCTGTTTTGGAGGGCCAAAACTGTATTTTTCTGTAAAACAGTGGACTATAAGCGTTCCAAGTCCTTTTCAAAGGTTTAAAATGCTTTTTAAATTTAAAAGGGACTAAAGTTGCAAAAAAATTTCAATTTGGGCCAAAATTGTCAAACTTTCGAAAAAGAAGGGTTATAACCGAGAAAAACTGAAATTCAGGGACTTAAGCTGTTTTCTATGAAAAATATGCTGGAAAATACTTATTTCAATAATTTTTGGTATTAAAATGTCAAGAAAATTGATTTAAGTACCAAACCGTAAAGTATTTAAATAAAGGGTTGAAAAAGTAAATTTTACAAACAAGGAGGGGCTGAAAACAGAAAATTCTCAAGGCTAGTTCAATACATGCAATTTGACCAAATGATGGTACCACGACTATCGACGAAATACAATACATTACAACACCAAAAGTCGTTGTTAAACGAATTGGTTCGGTCTCGAACCAATAAAAATCCGAAACTACTAACACGACGACACTACGATCAATAACTAATAACGATTGGGAAGTCACTATACATGCGAGTGTGCACAGACGTCTACGCACCACCTTTGGGCCCCAAAAGTGTAAAATCTTGTTCGTTGAGCCTAGCTAGCCCAATGACCTGATCTTAAGGCCCGAAGACCTCTCTCTTACGAAGTGTTGGGTTTTACCGACCCGACATAACGTAAAAGGACTTTCAATGGCTCGTATACTACTGGTCCCCAAGGGTCCTTTGGTATTGCTAGTAAAGTCTACATTTTCATGCGAGGCGGGTCTGGGACCCCTCGTACCTTTTATCCCCAACCGGCTAATGGAGTTACTGAGGCCTTCGTGTCCTCGTTCTCTTCGGGTGTGGGACTACACGTAGTCAGGGCGGTTGGAGAACGTGATTAGTACGGACGACGCCTACGGGATCGTTAGTATCGCTATAGACTAGTCGTTTGTGTAACGTGTGTTTGTAGCAAATAATCATGCTCAACAATAATCCAACGTCGCCTGGTACCGATAACTTCACACGTTGCAATTGTTTCAATGTACGAATTAGGAAAACATCGGGTTTTCCTAGGGTATTTCAATACATACGGATTCGGAATGCACACAAATTTTAAATGAACAATTTTTACAAGTATAGAAACAAACAAGCATACCTATGGATCTTCACACATTTTTGACTTTACTATTTTCAGAAAATATCGGATTTTCTGGTGTTTCTCAAAACATTACAAACATTGGATTTCAAACATTACTTATGAACTCACCAACATTTCATATGTTGACGTTTTTCAAAATACTTGTATTCTCAGGTAACAGATAAAGTGGAGGATGAATTGTACTCTAAGACGTTTTGCTGTGGTTTAATTTAGTATCAAATAGTTATTTTTGAGAATGTCATGTTTTGGAACAATGTAATGGATGTAAACGCTACCAGTTGTATCATTCCAAATGTTGGTGATGTATAATGTTATGTTTCATGTATATGCATTGTGATGGTATTCAATTGAGTCACGATAGCCCTCGGACGTTTCCGCCGTCTGGTTCGGGGGTGTGACAAACAACATTAAATGACATACCGTTAGAAAGACACTTGGACCATTGAAGAAGGTCTTAATATCACTTCTACCCCAAATCAACTTTTCCTCTTTTACACAATTTAATACATATGTACACCAATCAAACTTATATGATTCAGACAAATATGGTATAAGCTTCAAATTGCATGCACCTTGTTTGTTACATGATCCAAAACATGTACATACAAGAATAATAAAATTTGCAACAAACACCATATCTGCTTCACATCGTTCTATTATCTTGTACACAACATCATTTGGAGTAATTAAAGACAACGGCTTCTTGAATTGATCTTTCCATGTTTCATACCATTCCTCATTACCTCTTAAATCAATACTATTTAACTGATCAACCCCTGAAACGACCCAAAAATACGACCCAAAAATTTCATTTTTCAATATAACCAAAACCATAATCTGAGTGTCATATCATAAAACCATACGTGATGTATCCCAAACATAATAAAAACACTGTGCGGAAAACTGTATCATACTATGTCAAATCAAAACAAACTAAATCAATTCCCAGGATAAAAGCTAAAGCTGTGGTGTGTGTGATGCTATCACCCCGAGCTCTTCCCTTTGCTTGCGGAAGTACCTGAAACCAAAACTGAAACTGTAAGCACGAAGCTTAATGAGCTCCCCCAAGCTACCACATACCATACAATATATAAATAAGCACATACTGGGCCTTGCCCACTGCATCAGACCGAGGTCTGGAACTAGCTGCATCGGACCGAAATCCGGAACTGACTGGGACCTTGTCCCCTGCATCGGACCAAAGTCCGGAACTAACTGCATCGGACCGAAGTCTGGAACTGACTGCGACCTTATCCCCTACATCGGACCGAAGTCCGGAACTAACTGCATCGGACCGAAGTCCGGAACTAACTGGGACCTTGTCCCCTGCATCGGACTGAAGTCCAGGACTAACTGCATCGGACCGAAGTCCGGAACTAACTGCATCGGACCGAAGTCCGGAACTGACTGGGCATAGCATAGCATAGCAAAAACATATTTCAAATAGCATAACACACATGATCATAAACCCATATACTGCATACTACGCCAGGCTGTAGCCCATAACACTTAACACATAAATCCTGTCTGAGCCACGAAGGCATCAAACAAACTAACAACTGCATCGGACCAAAGTCCGGAAACTACTGCTACTAAACGGGCTGACATTGTGGCCTTAGACCCGTTCCTACTGGAAGGAAACTCACCTCGTAAACTGGCTGCTGAGTGTATGACTCTGGAATCTAACTGCTGCTGCTCCGGTATCTCCCCGGCTACAAGTCCATAAACACACTCAATCAAATACTAAACACTGCACTTGGGTAAAATGACTCTTTTACCCTTGGTCAAAGTCAACTCTCATTTGACCTGACTCGCCGAGTTGGGCCGCCAACTCGTCGAGTCTCTACTCTCACACCTCAACCCTACTCGCTGCTACTCGTTGAGTATGGCATCGACTCGACGAGTACCCTCTCGATCCAAGAACTCAGACAATCTTCATCCGACTCGCCGAGTCATATGAACAACTCGACGAGTTGCTCTTGAGCTTAAGAAGATTGCCTTGGACTCGCCGAGTTGTATGAACAACTCGCCAAGTCCTTCCATTACTGAGTCTACCCTCAACTCGCTGAGTCCACCCCACTACTCACTGGTCCCACTCGACAGACACCGCTCAAAAGGAAGAAATCGGGGACTCGCGACTCAACTCGCCGAGTCATTCTTCCGACTCGCCGAGTCACCGCCATGCAATTATTCTATACTCGATTCTGCTCGAATCCAAAACATACAAATGATAGATCTGAGTCCAATAAGCTGGTTTACCACGTAAAGTTCCCAACTTTACGTGCACAAACACAAGAATAAGGGAATAAAGGCTAAAAGATGCATAAAAGGGGTAGATCTAGGGTTAATATGCAAAATAACTCCAAAAAGGCGATAGATCTGGGCTCTACAAATCCTAAATACACAGATCTAAAGATATCTCGGCATGATAAGGCTTCCATATCAACATAAGGCTTGAGAAAGGCATCAACTAGATCTAAAAAGGGTTTTTAAGCATAAAAAGGGAAAGAAATCAGAAGAATACCTCAAAGAGCTCTTGCTTTCCCTTGAATATCTGCTCTACACTCCTTCTCCTTGATCCTTTCTTCTTCTCCTTCTTCAAGCCTTCACAAATGCATAAAAAAAATCACTCACAACACTCAAGAACGAAATTAGGGTTTTCTCACAGCTTCTCAGGGTGAAGGAGGCGAGAATGAGGGCCATAAGGTGGCTTAAATAGTGGGCAACCCGGGGATTTAGGGTTTCTCCCAGACAGACAGACTCGCCGAGTCCGGAATATGGACTCGCCGAGTCTCCAGCTAACACGTGCTCGAAATCCCGACCCTACTTGGCGAGTCAGGCTATGAACTCGCCGAGTCCCTCTTGCAAAACTTCAAAACAATTACCAAGGAATTAACATACCGGAAACGGGTCGTTACACCCCCATAGGTAGCCCTAACACCCTATTAACATCTTCCATTGTAACCAAAATATTAGAAACCTCAGTTTTAATAACCATCTCTAAAGGATCAAACGAATCAACAACAAAATAACATAATTTTGCTGGAATACTTTGAGTCTTCATGTCTATCAATGATCCAAACCCCAAACTCCTCACACATTCTTTTTGCTTATGATTCATTGACTTCACAACACCATATATAGAATGAAGAGAAACACGAAAATATAATGACTTTATTTTATCACTATGCAACTCCATTTTCTTTTTAACTTTCTTATCAGCTATATTATCCACCCTGTTCACACTGCTACTGGAACCATCCTCAAAATCAGAATCACTAGAAAACTCTACAACAAAATTATCAACATACAAACGATGTAAAATAATATAAAAACATTAATAAAACATAATCATTAAATAAATAAGTAACATTAGATTCAAGTTTACCATGTTCGGAGACAAATGTTTTACTAACTTTTCTAACACTTCTGTTAACCAACTTCCTGCTCCTTGTAATGCTCCGAACTTCAAAATCAGAATCACTTACATAATCTAAATTATGTCCAACAAAAAAAAAATATAATCTACATTAATAATAAACTTAAATAATAACCACAAAATTAACCTTCTGAATTAGATGATTTTGAATTTAATCGACCAAACAAACCATGTTTTCTCTTTTTCATCGAACTATAATCATACTGACTAACATTATTCCTTGGCTTTTTCTTCTTCCAAGAATTACTAGATGAAATGTCAATTGTCTTATTCCTAGAATTACTGGAATAAATCTCAATTGGACTCTCATCATCTACACATGCAGGCATAACAAAATCAAACCGAAAAAATGATAAAATAAGTCAATTTGAAAAACATTAACAACAACACATCATAACTTACTCTCTTTCTTAACTTCATCATATATAAATTTTTTCCCTTCAGATACATCATCTTCTATTTCTATAGGATGATCACGAGAATTAACCATGCAATCAACTTTAACCACGTTCTCATTTAAATAATCCTTCTTCCTGGATATCATTCGTTGTGATGCAATTGTAAATTTCTTCATGAGTTTCGAATTCGAACTTTGCCTATTCCTATTCACTTTCGCATCTAACAAAGCTTTAAATGCAAACATTATGTTGAATAATGTTAAAATACATAATCTAATATAGATAAAACTAAAAGAAAACCCTCTTAATAAAATTTCAAACAACATTAACGTAGACCTTGAAACAATTACGCATAAACGGTTACATCAATTTGAAAACCGACTACTGACTTGTCAATGACGATTAGATTAAAAAAAATAACTACAAAATAAAATTACATTTATAACCTTTTAATTAAAAAATTTATAGAAAACAAAATACAAACAAAAACTACTCTAATACACATGGTTCTTTCCTATTGGTTCTTACCATTTTCACATCTTACTCTCATTTGTTCACCAACCCACTTTTATATATATATATATATATATATATATATATATATATATATATATATATATATATATATATATATATATATATATATATATATATATATATATATATATATATATATATCCCTATCTAATAAACAAAACCAACTGGACACGTGTCATTACAATCATCCATTTTTCGCCCTATGTTAAATTACTCTATTACCCCTTCAGCATCCTTTCACGTATCATTAGGTAATAGATAAAATAGGTAATTAGGTATGGAATTGAATTAGATTAGATTATATATGGAATATATGGAATATGGAATTTCACGTAGCATTACAAATTGAATATGGATGGAAATAATGATATTGTATCGAAATCTTTGGAATATTGAATCTGGAAATATCGATATTTTCTAATTTGAAATTTGAATATGGAATATCTGCTGTATACATTAAATCAATTCCGTTACATGCCCGATTAAGAGCATCTAAAAATGGTATGCATATTAATCAATTATTATGCGCATAACATACTATATCAATCATATTCCGCTTCAATTACATAATTCAATCTTTACGACAGTCTATGCATCTCGATTCTGCTTCTTAATTTCGAATATTCAATCAGCAACTTCAATCTTTCGGTGAGTTTCTCATGATTATATATGATTGCTTCTCAATGTTTGTGTTAATTGTATAATTGAAATTTTTTTTCTTCTTCTGCGACTTCAATTTTGCTTCTCATTGAATTTGTTAATTAAGGTTTCTATTTATCTTTGATTCAGAAGTTGTTTATTAATTATTTTCTATCTTAAATTCTTTATTCGATCCACTCAATTGATCATCAATGTGTATGTGTATGTGTAAAAATAAGCTTCTCTTACGTATGTCTGTGTTAATCATCACAGACATTGATCACATGTACTGTTTGAATGGATTGCTATTATCTTTGTAGTTCCAATTTCGATTTTCTGCATTCTTTAACTATGAAGAAGAGCAAATTGGACTAATATACCCCTACCACGGCCTGCAATTTTTTTAATTTAATTTTTATTTTATGTAAGCCCTGTTTCTCAATGTCCTTTGCTGTTGTTGATACTTACTTTTATATTGCTAAAATACCTTTTTTACCCTTTATTTATATTTGATCATATTATACGGCTTTTTAATCGTAAAGGCCAAATTTATCTTTGTTGTTCTGTATTCAATTTCGATTTTCTGCATTTTTTGGTTATGTTTGCTATTAGTTTTCGATTTTTAGTTTTTTTCTCATTATATACCCTTAAGGGTATATCAGTAAATATGTAATTTTCTCATTGTTTTCTTGGTAACATCTACACTTAAATGATAAACAAAAGAATTGATTATTTCGTCTGATTTATCAAACCGTTTATATAATAAACAAAAAAGTATCAATTTCTTTTTGAAGTTCCTGTTACACTATATCCCATTTTTAGTAATTTATTCTCAAAGAACAATGCTATAATCTGTAATTTATCATCTTTTAGTTTAATTTTCTAAATATATGTGTGGTTGTCTATGTGTGTGTATCTCTTTAAAAATTCTGCAATTTCATCATTTTATGACCCCGATTTGCGAAGTTGAGTATTTATTTCCAAAAATGCGAAACTCCAGGGACAATATTTGAAAATTTCTGTTTTCTTCCCCAATTCGCATTCTACTGTGAAATACTTCGCATCTTCATTCTTACACCCTTCGCATTAATCACCTTCGCATTTTAACCTAATTAATCAAATGCGAACCACAAAATTTTCATTCCAGATGCGAACACAGTTTAGTTCTTGAACTCTAAACTTGCGAAATCAAAAATTCATATGTTGAACCCATATGCGAATATTAACCCAATTGACTTCAAATTGATTCACAGATGCAAACACTCGATTGTTTTACTTTCGCAAAATGAGCATCAACAACTCCACAATCGAGTTTTTAAATTCTTGCAAACAACAATTTCACAGTCCTTGACTTCGCGTTTTTCTTCACGAATCATCCCTCAATCATCAATCCAATTGCGAATCAAAACTCATATGTTCTTGCTTTATCGATTCATCGACTACACTCATACAAATGCGAACAATACTCAATTTCAAAATCGATTGAAACTTATAGCAAAGCTAAATCCAACTTCGCATTCAAAGCAGTGTTATTGATTGCATTCATGAAATACTAACAAGATAATATATTATAATACAAATATACATATTTTAGGTGGTGAAATCGTAACAGCCTAACAATTTGGTATGCAACTTTATTAAATCAATAAAAAAAGTTATGCAAATTGGAAAAATAAATAAAAATATATCTTTTGTTGTTTTAATTAAGGAAATAAATATTTTATATGAATACTCACCTGGAAAAACGCATATTATAATTGTTTAATATCACTATTCTTCATTTTTTCTAAACTTTCATATCTTTTTTTTGTTACAAATTAAAAACTATAATTATATTTCAATTTATCACCCGTGGATTTCCACGGGTTTAAACCTAGTATATATATATATATATATATATATATATATATATATATATATATATATATATATATATATATATATATATATATATATATATATATATATATATATATATATATATATATATATATATAGCTTCTACCTCATTACAAAGATTGCAACTCGTAAAAAATTTCTTCCTATCGATCCTTTCGTGTTTTCTGTCTCGTTGAAGTAGGGATCATCTTTCACTTCTCCGTCACCGGCAACCATCACACGGTAACTTTACTCATTCCTAGCACCCAGTTTCACGCAAATTGGTTCAATCACTTCCTTATACTCGATCGTTTGCTTTTGAATTGTTGGATTTATTATTTTCAGATATAGAGGGAGAAAGAACGACTACATCCAATTGCTTGGTGGCGCTGAGTATCAAAACCCTAACTCCAACAATTAGGCAATCATACAGGAACTTTAAGGTTAGTACTTTTAGATTGCTAAATCTGAAATATCTACGAATTCTTTTACTTCAACGTTCGATTATATATAACCCCGCCCGTCAATTTTGATGTCTTCTGTGTTATACACACCATTTATATTGCTAATTCAAACTCCAATTTCAGTTATGTAAATGAATTTGTCATGAAAGATGACTCCTCAATTTCATAAGCATTAGTATCATTCAACATGTTTATAGGAAGGAACTATTTTCTTATATAAACCATCTCGATATCCTCGAATCATTTCTGACTATTACAACTATAATTCTGTTTTAGGAGTGGAAATCGATCATATAATAGGAGATGAATATGAGTAACTGGAGGCATACACAGGGTACAAGTGGTGATGCTGTTGGTGACACCTCTATGGAATCCAGTGATTGGAGATCTCAGCTGCAAGCAGATTCACGACAAAGGATCTTGAATAGGATGTGTGTATTTATACTCTTAAAAATCATTTCTGACTTTAAAATATTTTTAACTATGCTAACCTTACACATGTTTATTTTACATAGTATGGATGCCTTGAAGAGTCATATTCGAATCTATGGAGATGAGGGGCTACAGAAGCTAATGAAAATAGCTATGAACTTTGAAGAGACAGTGTATATAGCTGCAACATGTCAGGTTTGTTTTTGTTTTGTTTTGTTTTGTTTTTATCTGTTAATGATCTTAGTGATATAAAGATTTTGAAGGAGTCTTTATGTAGAAATGGAAGTACTTTGCTAATTTAAATCTTGTAATTCATTTTGTTTGCAGTCTGATTATATGCGGAAGATATGCTTCAAGATACTGACTATTGAAACAAGATCACAAAATCCCATGTTAGACTTTATTAGTGTAAACCCCTCAGATCCAGGTATTTTTTTCAAAAATATTTTAACAAAATATTAATGAAACTTATTATTAACTTATAACTCTTTTGTAGCATCGTTAGATTCCACAAATTGTGAAGAGTGGCAAGAGGAACTGTATGAAAAGGTGTTGTATATGAAATTACACAAGCGTTACTATTGATATTATGAGTCATAATAAGAAGGAACTAACACTCTTTTGGAACATAAAATTGTTTTTATTTTGATTACAGATAAAAGCTATGAAGGTTCTGTATCTACAAGATTTGAATGAGTTGAACCTGAAAATTCTTCGCAGATTGCAGCATGTGAGTTCCATATCCCCCTTAATTTTTATGGAAAAGAAAATGTAATTTTAAAAAAAATATTTTATTTCGTGATTTAACAAAAGAGTTTGTTGTCCAGAATGATTTTCATCCTCATCAACTGAATAATGAGCAACTTGAGAAGCTGAGAATATTCAAAAACATGTTGGAGCGTTTCATGGCATTCTTACAAATCCAAAAGCACAACATTTCAGTCAACTATAAAGACAAACTGACTACTTATGAGAAGCAAATTGTCCATGTCATCACCTCAACTCGAAGGAAACCCCGTGCATAATTGACATTTGACATAAGTCAAAGTCAAATCACATGAAAAGTACACTGTTGGTATAGTCTTAAATGTATATTTTCATTGTTTGTTACCTTGAGAACATCTTGATTCTTCTTCATTATATTTTCTTATCTACATTATAGTGTGATTATCACATCATTTTTAGTGAATAGTGATTATCGCTTTTTTATTTTTTTTTGAACGATAGATCACCCTAAGATTGAAGTATGTAAGATTATCTGTATCAACTCAATTTTTAAGTGCGTATAACAAAATATTTATTTCCTAAATGTCATCTATCCATATTATTTATGTTGCCTCAGAGTGCCTATATGCTACAATCATTGCAGCATGTAAACAGAAGGATGCTTTCTTGGCGACGAAGCATCAAAACATAAAAATAACTTCCATAATGACAAATAAATAAATAAATAAAAATAAAAAGAAACAAAATAATGTTTGTAAGAGGGTATTTGGGATTTCATTTTGAAATTAAAACATACTTTTATCTAAAATGACTTATTGATTTATCAATGTCGGGAAATGAGATTTTAAAAAAAAAGTGTTCAATTAGCTTTTTAGTGACAAAAGTCAATAAATTAAAAAGTGTTTGACTAACTTATTGATTTTTGCTTGTTTTTTATTCTAATAACTCATAAATCATTTAAAAAAATCACAAATTGTAATTTTTTCAAAACTCATTTTCAAAAGTTAAACCAACAGTTGTTTTAAAAATCTTTACTAAATATCAAAATATTTTTTTTAACTTATTGACTTTTCAAGAAATCAATAAATTATAAAAGAGTTCTTAGATGAAATCTCAAACACCCTCTAAAAGTAATTTGGGTTGGTTAAATATAATGGCCATATGATTATTATTATTAGACAAAATTGCAAAAATGGTTCATATGGTATGCATTTTTTTTTGGGTTTTGGTTCAAACCCCGACTTTTTTTTATTGACAGTCCTTTTGAGCTACTTTATTTGTGGTTTTGGTCCCTCGTAAAATTAAAAAGACAAAAATACTCTTCTGATATATTTTTGTATGTTTTTTTTTTCTATTTAATATAAAGTTTTATTAATAAAAATTATGGGACCTCTCTCTCTCTCTCTCTCTCTCTCTCTCTCTCTCTCTCTCTCTCTCTCTCTCTCTCTCTCTCTCTCTCTCTCTCTCTCTCTCTCTCTCTCTCTCTCTCTCTCTCTCTCTCTCCAGTTGAAGTAAAGAAACCACCCTCCACTCACCAAACGCCTCCATCCTATAACCCACCACCACCAAACGTCATCATCGTTGCTGCTTCGTCTTGGTCCCTTGTCGAGCATCCACTAATAGAAATGAGGCAGCAAGGCTGCCCACAACCACCAACCGCAGCCACCCATAGTCGTCGCTGCCCTTCCACCGCCGTTGCAGTCCGCCACCGTCGCTGCAGCCCGCCACCTGCGACCCTCCATTCCTTCGAGTTTCAATTTAGGGGTAAGAATGTGATTCAAAGAAGTGAAAAGATGGATGGTGGCCGGAAAAAAAGCTCCACCTCCGGTGGGGTGTTCTTAACTGTAAATAAAGAAGGTTGGGGTGGGGGGGGGAGGGGGAAGTTGGTCGAGAGAGAGAGAGAGAGAGAGAGAGAGAGAGAGAGAGAGAGTATTTTTATTTAATGTATAAAAATACTCTAAAAAAAAGAAAATTGAAAATAAATGTAAAAGGGCGATTTAGTCATTTCAATTTTACGAGGTACCAAATCTACATACAAACATGCCGAAAAGACCACAAATCCAAAAAATCGGGGTTTTGACCAAAACCCCAAAAAATACATACCACAGGGACCATTTTTGCAATTTTGTCTTATTATTATATACATATATTAAAGGGCATGGCATGTTTAAGAATTTACAAATCTGCCACCACTCTTTAGGGGTTTTATAGTTTTCATCCCTTTAATTTTTACCATTATAATCTCCACCCACACAAATATGTTTAATTGTCAATTTGGCACCTTCTTTTTCCAACATTGTTAAAGTTTAGGACTTTAGAATTTTGCCACCAATTTTAAGGGTTTTAAAGTTTTCATCCTTTCAATTTTTGCTACTACAATCTCCTTCCATACAAATATGTTTAATTATCAATTTTGCCTCTTTCTTTTTCAAAATTGTTCTATTTCGATACTTTTTCCAATATTGTTCTATTTCGATACTTGCCCTTTCTTGGTTAATGGGTAGTCAACCCTACGGTACACTCTTGCATTTCGTTTTATATGTTTTTGGAAAATGTCACTTTTGGGCCAATTTTTTTTTTTTTTTTTACAAAACTCTAAATTATTTCCAATTAATTTTTTTTTTAGGAAACTTTAAATTATTTCCAACCATACTAGCATGGTCTCTTTCCTAGTTATTATTATTTGTTAAAGTGAATAAGCTTTAGATAGCATTTTTCATATTTTATTTTTAATTTTGTATATTAAATATATATAAGGGGGGATACCGCTTTCAATTTCAAAGAGCTCTATTCGAGCTTGTACTACTAGAACTAGGATTTGAGATACCAAGAATTCTATACAACTTATTAATTAGAAATTAATAATTATAATTAATTTATATTTGTGTTGTATATTATCACATAGTACAATAAATAAATAGTAATAAGGTAAAATAGTATAATATATTTTTTTTTGGTTTAATGCGACCTAGATAATCCAAAACGTATTTAAAGATCTTATAAAATCCAATCCAATTAAAACGAAACCCAATTCCCTACTAAGTACTAACTAGGGTTGTGCATAAGTCGGTTTTGGTCGTTTTTGGACCCAACCCAACCCATAAATAGCCGGTTTCTGGTTTTCAGAACCCAATAGGATCGGTTTTTGGTCGGTTCTTATTCTCGGATTCTGAGCTCGGTTTAGGCGGTTTTTCGATTTCTTGTGTTCAACCCATACACTCATGAGTTCTAGGTTTAAACTCATGGGTTTTGGGTTTTAACCCATTTTCCATAAATGAAGCAACAAGTTAAATACTTCAAAAAACACTAAATTTAAGTTAAATACTTCAAAAAACATGATTCTTATAACAAATAGTACCAAAACACAATCAAGTATGTGTCGGTTTCTTGGGTTGGATGTGTCGGTTTCTTGGAGAGGGGGTGTCGGTTTTAAGTATGGGTCGGTTTCTCGAGTTGGATTGGTCGTTTTTAGGTAAAAATCGAAACCGAACCCGATTTTTCAGTTTTTAAAAAATTCAAATCCCAACTGTTGGTTTTGCTTAAGTTTTAGTTTTTTCGGTTTCAGTTTCGTCGGTTTCTCGGTTTCTTGGTTTGGGTTTGCTCACCCCTAGTACTAACACATTTAACTTCCTTTTTAAATTAGCAAATTCCATATTTTTAGTAAACTTTACTCGGAAATAAATATTAGAATAAATTACTGAAATCGTCTTTATGGTTTGATGAAATTTTATGTTTGGTCCCTAAGCTTTTTTTTTTTTTTTTTTTGCACTTGGATGGTTCTCATATGATTTTATTGCGTTTTTGGTTCCTCATAAAGATGAAAAGACTATATTGCCCTTTGTATTTTACTTTTTAGTTTTTTATTATCTATTAATTACATAAAAAAAATTTAATCTTGGTCTCACTCTCTAACCAACTACACCCTAACATTCTAATCTTTTCATCTTCCTTATTTCTTTTTCTAACCATAATCCTTTGGAAAGCAACCCCAACACCAGAATCGTCGGATGTCTGTCGGAACCATCAGTCGCCAACCAAACCCCCGGATCATTGTCGGAAACACCATATCGCCACCATCATCGTTCTCTCTACTCCACTCTCTCATCGGAAACCGTTGCCGCCTCCATTATCGGTTCTTTCTACCCCATCTTTTTTCCTTCTTCGCCAGATCTATTTGTTCATTTCCTTCTGTGATGGTGGTGGCCGACCTCCATCATCGAGATCGCTGACAAAACCACCAGATCTGCTTCAAGCGGTGGTTGTGGCTTCATAATAACGATAACAATGGCTTTCCGTCTTCCTCCCTTCTGGAACTAAAAGGTCACCACCCACCACTTGACCACCAATATTGTGCCTACCTTTAGCTACAATTTCCTTCTCGTGTGTGGTTGTTGTTTCTCTAGTTTCTGGTCTACAAAGTCGGAGAAACCTAATTCTTGAATTTTCATGGTGGTGGTTGTTGATTTTTCACAGTATCGATATATTTGTGTGCATATGTGTATGTGAAGGTTATGAAATGTTTTTGTAAAACTGGTTTCACGATTTGACGGAGGTCTTGCCGTTTCTAGTTTCTAGTTTGGATTTTCTTCAAATTGCTTCATATCTAAAGTTAGTTTTCAGTGGCTACTGGTTGTCGACGATGACCGGTTGCGGAAGTGGGATTGGAAGGGTAACCGGTGGTGGAAGTTGGAATGGGATTAAGTGGGTCCTACTTGTGTAACTAATTCGTTTTCTATAATTAACAAAAACATAACAAAAACCTAAAAAGGGGAGTATAAATGGGCAATATAAACACGTCATTTTGACATACCACAAGACCATTTCAGTAATTTATTTCTAAATATTAAAACAAATTGATTTTTCGTAGAAATAATCATAGTCCCACAGCTTATTAACATTTTACCTAACCATCATCTTTTTCGACTTCACACTCATAAACCTTAAAACAGGGCTCGTCTTTTCACGTCTCCGTCACCGACGACCATCTAACGGTAACCTTATGCAACTTCACTCTTCCTAGCCTCCCGATTACACGCATATTGATTCAATCTCTCGTTAGTTATTTCTCCAACCAAATTTAATGTCTAGTATGTTATAAACCCTACTTATATAAATGATTTTGTCATGAAGTGTGATTCTTCAATTTCACAATCGTTGGTATCACGTTACGTATATCGTAATTAAATCATATTTAGCTAAATCGTAGTTTCAGATAAGAAGCAACACTTTTTCTACATAAAATTTCTCTGTACTATCAAATCATTTCGTATTATTCTATTTTAGGGGTGAAATTAATCATCAAACCGGAAATGGATATGAGTAATTTGAGGCGTTCTCATGGTGGAAGTGGCGATGTTGATGACTCCTCTCTGCAATCTGGTGATTGGAGGACTCAATTGCGAGCAGCTGCAAGGGAAAGGATGGTGAACAGGATGTGTGTATTTACTATTTTCATCCTTCTCTTAAATTTCTTAGAAATGTTAGCTTTTGGGATTTTGTTGATAATAGAGTACCCTTATGTGGAAATATTTACTTTTAGAAGTGATGATAATGCTAATTGCTCAAAAAAGATGGATTACTGCATAAGAAATGAGGTCTTATTTTTACTTTTAGGGAAATGATTCGTGCTCAACAATTTTTCTCTATATACAACAATTTATGCTTTATAGAGTTGCCCAATACAACATTTTAAAGCATAGATTTTATACATGGAGAAAATCGTTGTGTTTCTTAAAAACTTCTTAATGTAGCTGATTAACCTTTCTACAAGAAACATTTTCTAAAGCATAGATTATTATACAAGAAACAAGAAACATTTTCTAAATACCAGAAACGTGGAGATAATCGTTGTGTTTCTTTAAAGCATAGATTATTATACAACATTGACTATAGTTTTTTACTTATCTATAAAATTAACCTTTCTACAAGAAGTACATTCTAAATACCACATCTTTTAACTACCACATGTTGATATTACATAGAATGGTTAGAGTGAAGAGGCATCATCCATACTCTGGACATGAGGAGCTACAAAAACTTAGAAAAACATCTGCGAGGTTTGAAGAGCAGATTTACAATGCTGCAACAAACCGGGTTTGTTTGATTGCTTTTTTTTTTTTTTTTTTTTTTTCCTATTCGGGGCCCCTAAGTAGAATATCATTTTGTCATGTGATAAGGTACTTTGGAAATTAAATATTTTTAATAATTTGGTTTTTAGTTTGATTATATGCGGAGGATATCCTTGAAAATGCTGACAATTGACACTAGGCCACGAAGACCCATGCCATTGTCATATGTTGTGCATTCAAACTATGGTGCCATTAATGGAAACCCCTCAAATCCAGGTATTTCCAAATACACTATCAGAAAAACTAGCAGATAAAAAATAACGTCTGATAAAACTAGTTGAAAAGCTAGCAGATAAATACTAACTGTCTTTTTTTTTTTTTTTTTTTTTTTTTTTTTTTTTAAATGTAATGATGTTTTGAGGTTATTTAATGATGTTTAAGAAATATTTAAAAAAAATTAAGGAAATGATTTAATGAGGTCAAATTTATAAATGTCTGGACTTTGGAATTTGACTTTCTTTATTTGGTAATCAGTAAAAGAAAGAAAATATATCTTGCTACTTATGATAGCCTCAAAACATCATTACATAAAATGAACCAAGTCACCACGCACAAGTTTCATATATCAATTATTTTGTGAAGCTAGAAAAGTATATTAAATATTTGAATTATATATACATTGTATTTTGGATGTTTTTATATACTTATGGATCATATTGTTTGGATGCATGTACCAATGGCAGGAAACCAGGATAATGAATAAACCAATGGTGGGAAACCACATGATGTATAATTATGTATGTACAAGTATTTGTTGTGAAATACCATTGTATTTTGTTCAATGATGCAAATCGATATATATATATATATATATATATATATATATATATATATATATATATATATATATATATATATATATATATATATATATATATATATATATATCATGTGTGTAGTATGCATTGTAATATGTTTAAATTGTCAATATGTTTTGATCCATAAGGATTTATTGTTGAGATTCATAATATATTAGGAGAACTCAAGAACTAAATTGTGTGAAGCTAAAAAGTGATTATGCGGTTTTTGATTTAATTTATTGTCAAAAAGACAAAAAACTACACCAAACCAAACAACATAAGATGTTGGGTTTTGTGGTATAGTCACCGAACAAGAGAAAGAGAAAAGTGGGTGACGTGTCGAGTCCAATAATTGTGATATTTTTATTTTTAACGATGAGTGGAGGGAGTTACGGGGCCTTTTCTTTATTTTTATTAGTCAATTTTGCCAAACACCGTGATAGTAATGTATTTAAAAAGTAATTGAAAGTAAGTTGTTATGTTTTGAATAGAACTTTGGAAGACTTAAATTGGTAAATGACAAAAGTTGTGGCCCAAAGTCATGCCAAGAAAAAATAATAACAATTGTATTATATGTAAAATAATAACAATTGTATTATATGTGATAAGTACATAAAAATAAGCAAGTAATATTTTTTTAAGTTAACAAATGGAAGTTTAAATAATTAAAAATATATTATATGTGATCCGACTCATATGTACGAAGCGTACATAAAAATAAACACACAAACGTAAAAAAGAAAATTATGTCGAAATATCGACGAACTCGAATTTATACCGACACGTACATAAAAAAAAGCAAGTAATATTTTTAAAATCAACGAACGAAAGTTCTAAATTTATGCCGAAACGTTGACCATCTCTAATTTATACCGACACATACGAAAGTTTAGAAAGTCGGAGGGGTGATAACTGTAGAAAATCAAATTGTATATATTATGGGAGATAAAACAAAAGTTTAGAAAATGAAAGAGGTGAAGTTGATGTTTTTCAAAGTTCAAACACGGGCTGAAAATGACATTGTAAAAAGTAGAGGGTTGAAAATGTTATTTTACAAAGTATAAACGTAGACAAACTCGAATTATATCGTTACATAAAAAAATAAAAAATAAAAAAAAAAGTAATTTTTTTTAAATCAACGAAACAAAGTTTTAAATTTATGCCGAAACATTGATCATTTCTAATTTATACCGATGCATACGAATGTTTAGAAAGTGAGAAGAATGATAACTGTAGGAAAATCAAATGTATATATTATGAGGCATAAAACAAAAAATTAAAAAATAAAAGGTTGAAATTGATATTTTTCAAAGTTCAAACACATGATGAAAATTATATTTTAGAATGTAGAGGTTGAAATATGTCATTTTACAAAGTATAAGAATGATAGTAACAGAAAATTAGCAAGAAAATTAGCAGAGGTACTTAAATTGCCAAAAGCTATAAATTGAAAATCAAATAAACGGAGGACTCAAAATGTAAAATAAAATAAGAAAAAAAAAACAGAAAAAAAGGGGGACACGGACTTTAGTATTTAGAAAGTAGAAGACAAAATTGTAAAAATGGTTCCTGTGGTATGTCAAAACTAGCATGTTTGGGCCAAAACGGTTTTGGCTAGCATCAATGGTCCAAAAGTTTTATTTTCTTGCAAGTTTGGTCAAATTTGGTTTGAATTTTTTTTGGAAAGATAATTTTGCCCTTATTATTTAATTTTTCATTTTTGTTTTATTACCAACAATTAAAAATAATTAAAAATAAAACAAAATAAAATAAAACAAAATACTCTCTCTCTCTCTCTCTCTTTCTCTCTCTCTCTCTCTTTCTCTTTCTCTTTTTATCTTTCTTCTCCCTCTCTCTCTCTCTCTCTCTCTCTCTCTCTCTCTCGTTTCTTGCTTACTACTGTCCAAAGAAGAAGAACAAGTGGTTGTCACCGGCCTAGGCTGCCCTTCCGCCTACCTCCGGTCAGGTAGCACCACCCCACACACCCGATTCGATCATTGCTATCCTCCTTTTGAACCTAGACAGATGCCAACGAGAGAAAGGAGATCGAGATCTGAAGTTTGGGTTTCTTGACGATTAGGGTTTCTTGGCGGTTAGGGTTTTCAGATGGAGGGTTTCGCGACTGGAAATCGAGGGGAAGACACCTCGAATCGATTTTCCTCGACTGTTAAGCCTCCGACGAGATGGTTATCATCGATCAAGGGGGTCATCGATCTGGGTTACATCTCCACACCACCGCCGGATCCTCTAGCTACAAACTGAACATATCTGAAGGCGACGAGCGTGGTGATGGTGTGTAGCAGTGACGAGAAGAACAAGAGAGAGAGACATGATTGACATTTGATTCAAACACCGATTCAGAGAAGAACAAGAGAGAGGGACATGATTGGCATTTGATTCAATAATTGGAAAGGACGCAAAAATTTCTAGGTTGTAAATTGTAACCCCTTTCATCTGTAAATTGTAATCTCTTTAACCTGTATTGATTTAGGGTATACGGTGTCTGCGATTCAGGGAGGGGGATAAATGGGTGCAGTTTACCTTCATCTTTATGTTTATTGAGTTGTTTGTGTACTTATGGGTTTAAGTTGGGCAATTCATAGAAGAAATTGATTCCGATGGTGGTGATGGCAGTTCATTAGAAATCGATTTCTTAGTTCGTAAATATGATGTTCTTGTTCTTGTTCTTGAACTCAGGAAAAACCGAGTGTTCTTGAGATTCATATGCATATATGAGTGTGTATGTGTTTAGTTTATTCGACTTCATACAATGAATTGAAAAAAAAAATTGATAAAAGTTAGGGTTCTTCATTTTACAAATCCACTACGAGATATGTATTAATTTTGTTTGTAGAGAGAGAGAGAGAGAGAGAGAGGGAGAGAGAGAGAGAGAGAGAGAGAGAAAGAAAGAAAGAAAGAGGAAGAGAGAGAGAGAGAGAGTATTTTATTTTTAATTGCTTTTTAATTACTAATAATAAAATAAAGTGGAAAATTAAAATATAAGGGCAAATCCATCATTACAAAAAAGTTCATAGAAAATTGGACCAAACTCGCAACAAAACGAAACTATTGAACCATCATTGCAAGCCAAACCCATTTTGGACCATAGGTGCTAGTTTTGACATACCACAGGGACCATTCTTGCAATTTTGCCAAAGTAGAATACATATAATTTTAGAAAAATACCGTTTTTTGGGTTGAATTTTATATAATCACAAAAAATTGGATTTTCGGGTATAGATATGGATTTCGTGGAGGTAAGGTATGAGGGCTCTGCGAAATCCACTGTAGCTCCGTGGAATAACAAAATCGTAAATAAATCAAGGTATTAAGAAATATTAAAAAAAAAACTCAAAATCCATTCCGCGAAGCTACCTCCGAGGAATGAACTGTGGACAGAGGTAGTTTCGAAGAATGGATCTTTAGATTTTTTTTTTCACGTCAGTTCTTCGAGGTTTATACTCATTCTCCAATTAATTATTTTCATGAAAAAATTATGACAGTATAAATTTTTCTTGACAATTTTTGGAATGAATGTGAATTGGAAAAAATTTAGTCTTTTAATAAGAGATTCTTACATAAAAGAATCATTTGAGATTTTTTTTTGAAGATTCATTTATTGGAGCTATCCCCGCAGAATGAGTTCATTCCTCGGAGGTAGCTCCGCGGAATGGATCTTAAGTTTTTTTTAATAACCCGACTTATTTACGATTTTGCCATTCCGCGGAGCTACAGTGGATTCCGCAGAGCCCTCAAAGTTTACCTCCGCGGAATCCATGTGTATACCCGAAAATCCAATTTTTTGTATCTATATTTTGGAATTCAACCCAAAAAAATGTTTATAGCCGGTATTTTGTCTGGTAGAATAAAAAAATTTAGGAAAATAATAAAAACACAAAAATATTGATAAGTTAGCGCTTTTACAAATAATTAATATTTTTAATGGAGTTATCCCCATTTTTACAATTAAAAAAAATAACAAAGACCACTGATTTAATGGAAAAGAACTTGGACCAAAATTGTAATTCTTTGTGTAACACGAAACATTTATAAAGATTTTTGTATAGTTAGACGCTTATATTTTCTTGCTCATAATTTAGCATTTCAAGTTTAATACGTATTATATGTTAAAAAAAACTTGTTGTAATTCTTTTTATACTTACATAGCTATATTTGAAATATAATAGTTATCTATCTATCTTACTTAATAAATAAAAATAATTTGTGTTATATGTCATTTTTCTTAACTATTAGTTTAAAATTTTATCTTGTATTGACATTTGACACCCTCATATATTTTTCTTTATTAATATGTAATCTTCATTTATATATATATATATAATAATAATAATAATAATAATAATAATAATAATAATAATAATAATAATAATAATAATAATAATATGGAGGACTCACGATTATCTATTGATAAGATAAAATTGCAAAAGTAAATTTATATAATTATCATTCTCATCTCACGAACCCTAATCACTGTTCTTTTCTTTTTTCGATCGGCAGGCACATGAGAGACCCGATTTCTTCTTCCTCCCTCTTCATCAGATCGAGAAGGCATCAGGCGATCGAGAAGGCATCATGGCTGGTCTTAATCTGTCCGTCTCTTCTTCCTTATTCCGTGGATACTATTGGTGTTGTTCTCATGGAGGGGGTTCCTCCTGATTTGGAACCTGATGTTATTATGAAAAAAGAAAGGGGAAAAATGCGAACCCGAGAAACAAGCTGAAAATCGATTCTGGTGAGGCTTCTAAATTACCATCTGATCCTCTGAAAGCTAAATCAGTCACTCTTCTTGTCAATAAGTTTGAATCAGAAGTGAAATCTCCTATGATAAAAGGATCGAGTGATGTGAGTAAAAATCTAAAGGCCCTAGGTCTGGAGTGAATTTGGTGGATTCCCTTTTGGATCTTGGATATGATGCGATTTCTATTGAGAATAAGGGCTTGAGATTGTCGAATGGTTCTGAGGGTGCTGTGATGGGATCGAAGATTTCTTCTAAAGTGGTTATGGCTGATATTGTTGGTTCTCCAATGGTTAATCATTCCATTCACAATCTCATTAAGGAGGATGGAGTGATAGAATGTTTGAGCTCCCCTATGCTTGAATTTGAAAAAGACATTGAGAAACCAATTATTTATTTAGTGCCTACCAACTGTTTGTTAAAAATCCTAAGAGACAAGATTTTTGTTTTTCATGTTTTTCACAGGTTTTAAGATTGGCCAGTGGATAAGCTGTCATTATTGAGAATTTAAAGAAAGTTTCATGCTGCATACCATCTGCTCGATAAAATGATTATATCAGGTTTCTGGATTTTCTATCCAATCCTTTTATATAAGTTCAACTATTTTTTTGGCAAATATAAATGGTTTCTTCATAAAGATTTTTGTTGTAAGTAATGTGTTTAACAAAACTCTTGAATCAACTTTGTTTCAATTGTATTATAAATTGTTTTGCAGGACCATGGAAGTATCAAATCTGTTAATTTTTTTTTATTAATTTGATTGTTAATAAATTGAGAGGATAAAAATCTGTTAATTTTTTTATTTATGTCTTCCGATTATGGTTTTGGTTAATTATTTATATGTTGATAATAAATTCTACTAGAATTTTACTGTTTTATTTTTGATAAAATTTTAATATTTATATGTTGATAATGTATTCTAACAGAATTTTACTGTTGCATTCTAACAGAAATTTGTGATAGAAATAACTTGAAGAATGGCTTGAAGAACTGATGGGAAAGGTTTGAAGAATGAATTAAAGAATGATCACACTTAATGTTTAAGAATGTTGTTATTTTTTAAAAATTACACTTGTTATTCTTTCAGAATGTTGTTATTCAAAGAATCACAATTAATTATTTGGTATATTATTAGTTCAAGAATCTATTTTGTGTATTCTTTCAGAATGTAATTAGTAGTTTATGATTGTCATTATGTTATTCTAACAGAGTAGTTAGAATGTAGTTATTTTTCAACCTCGGATTCCAGAACTTTGTTATTATTCAATAATATTCTAATAGAATAAAAGTCTGAAAGATATTCATTCTAACTAAAAAAATATTCTGACAGAATAAATTGGTTATTTTTACAAATTATGTTAGAATTAAAATTGAATTAATTAAAAAATCATATTTTTAAAATTAGGAGAATTAATTATCCATAAATATCCGAAAATTTCCTTTTATAATTGTAGTTAATTGTCCAAAATACTCTTTTGCTAAAATTTGTGTGATTATATGGTACATGCTATCCCATTGTAATTGTTGGAATAGTGTGTAAGGCTGCAACTATATTAGGCATGTATTTGACCCGATTGTGCATGGTCCTTTTAGGTTGCCTTCACCATAGCAACTTGGTAGGATGATTTATTATGAGAGAATAGATATTATTAATATATTATGAGAATAATATAATGAATAATAATATTGTTATTTGATTAATATAAGTCATAGATTAATTAGTATTAATTTGGTGATTTAAAGAGATTAATTAAATAAGAGGGTATAAACTGTCAATTGTTTGATAGTTACACTTTAGGCTGTAAATTCTTATTGGAAAGAGGGTGGACGATTTCTAGGGCTAGGATAAGCCTAAAATCGTCCATGGCTTATCTTTGGTAAGGATTAGGATTACTTAGAGTCTAAGTTATCCAATTAGGGTTTAAGGGTGAAACCCTAGGAGCCTTACAAGTATAAATAGACCCCTTGGGATAGGGAAATCGACACCTCCTCTACAACAAGGATACCCTAGCCGATTTCCTCCTCTCTCCTCTCTCTCAAATCATTCTCTTTGCTAGTCGGTGTTTGTAAGCCATTAGAGGAGTGACAATTGTGACTCTAAAGCTCCAAGAACAAGAAGATCAAACAAGTGTTTCAAGGTATGCTTCTAACTCTGGTTTTGTATTGTTCTTATACCTAATTAGCCATTAGGAGTCTTGGATTCAATGCATGTTTAATTAGAGAAACCTAGATCCAAGTATTAGGGTTTGTATGCGCACATAGGAATGTGTTGGGTTTTGAGCAATCTAACACTTCCTAAGTGTGCATGCAACCCTAATAAACCTTGGATATATGTTTGTCTAAATACATGCAAAATAATAATTTTCCAAGGTTTATAACCTATCTAACATGGCATGGGGAACATTTCAACATAAAGAGTTAGAAGAGATTACATACCTTTTTGATGAGTTTGGTTCTTGAGGAGTTTGAGGGCCAAGCACCAATAGTGTGAATGCCTCAAATGGAATCACAAAACACCACAAACTCTTGGAAAACTTTGAGAGAGAATACACACTTGTATTTTCGGCCACACACAAGCACACACACACTAGTTCACTAGTTACACTTAGGCACCATTTCATGCTCCATAAGCATGCTTATATAGTGTGCATGGTTAGGGTGAAACCCTAATAACCCATGACCTTTCCTTTCCAAGGATCCATGGGTTAAAAGCTCCATGGATCATCCATGGACTTCCATATAAGCCTAGCCCATTAACAAAAGAGCATTAGCCCACACTATATAAAACCAATAGCCCATAATCTAATTAGTCTTCCTTTTAATCTAATTAGTCTTCCTTTTAATCTCTAAATTAATTCATAATTAATTTAAGACTAAAACTAATTAAATAACATAACCTCATATTAATATATTATAACTTATAATATATTAATAAACATATGTGTATAACTCTCATAAAATTATCCATAAATAGTTTGGATGAGATGCAACCCAAATGGACCATGCCGGGTCGGGTCAAGTATATACCAAATAAGTTATGGACTTAGACACCTTATCCAACAGACTCCCACTTGGATAAGTCTAATAACTATATTTGCGTATGTTACTTCAGGAACCAACCAGCAATCGTAGCTCTCGAAAACTCCGTTGAACTATGAAGACTCTGTTGAACTATGAAGCGCCATTTTAGATAAGTGATCATATAATCCTCTGTTCTCATGATATCAGCCGGACAGATACATGGAACAACGTCGTACTTATTGTCCAGCAGTTTGTTTCCCGATTTCCGATTTGTTTGACAAAGAACTTAATCGAACACATCAATTTAGTTCTGACCGGCTGGTACATAGGTCACAACAAAATCATCGAGGGGCCCAGATATCGCTTCTATTTCTAGAAGGAACAGATAAATTTCGACTCATATGCTTGTTCTACTACTTGTTGAATTGCACACAAAGGCACGTTTTATAACATCAAGTTACTGATGTGTTTACGTGCAATCAATGCACAACCAACTCATAGGTAACAACTCATATCTCTAGGTTTGAAGATTTATATAATATTACCGTCTCACGATCACTCGAGATAAATTCCATGAAGTGATACAAGTGAGCGTGGGTTTATTCCAATACTCATAACTTATGAGCACTCATGAATGTTGTAGCAACCATTGCTATGACTAAACCCATTTAGCCATCTACAAACCCGATTCATAACAATCTTGATTCATACCTACTTCCAACATATGAACGACTGTGGAGTGTTTAAATAACTTAGTCATTCGGAAAGAATAATCTAGCTATTTTGGAAGTCAAAACATGCAAAGTGAAACACAATAATAATCGAATCCAATATGGTCTCAGAACCCTTTTGAATATAAATAGAACCACCTTTTATTTATCACCATATTGATTACACATTATTCATTGTATAATGTTTCAAATGATCAACTTAAGACTTGAATAAAAACAACAGTCGTCCCATGCTCCTAGCATGTACACTTTGTTTTTCTAAACAATAGTTATGCCATACTCCAAGTATGCACACTATGTTTGTCTATGATCCTTACATTGTGATGTAGATCAATTGAACATGATTCCAATGATACTCATTTCACAATCCCAAATCCTTATTGTAAATGTGAGAATCCCCCGATTCCTATCATTTACCAAAACTGTTTAGATTTTAAACTTTTATGCAATGTTCCTCTTGTAATGATTATTCACAAAGTCACCAAAACCTTGTCACCAGTCATTACAGAGTATTCCAAAGAAGGTCAACTTCTATGGAACCGAAGTCTCATATTCAAAGTACATTGCTTTGAACATCCTTCTTGCATTAAGGTTTTCTAATCTTACATAGATTGAATAACTTCCACCTATGGAGACATTTCCATAGTCCCATTTTGACTATCACTTCCGAACAAGAGTTGCTTTTTTTCAGAAAATGTCAATATGGTCCTACCAAAATTAACACTATACTTCCAAATGTCCTTGAGCAACCAATCTTTGGCAAACCTCAGATTGTCCTCGACAATTGCTTAATCACTTTAGTCATATCCAGTTCTAGACTTTTCCCTTCTCAATGCCTTAAGCATTTGGAAAATTTAGAAAAGATGAATATTATAGCACATGCAATCGATCCTATATCCAAAGCATATGAGACACGATTCATGATGTTTAACATAAAGCAATGATACTATACTAGTCTTTTGCTACAATATTTTTTTTATTTGCCATGTTTTCAAAATTTAACTATGAAGAGGGATGCCGTAATCATAATCGAATTTTGAAAACACAATATATATAGAATTTCTTCAAGTTGAACCATTCAGACATAAAATTCATATATATGTCCTTGACTAAAGATGATTAAAATCTCCATCTAAGCTTTAGAATTGAAATGAAGTATAATTTTCTCTCCCTTAATTATAGCAAAACGACTTTTTCAACCCCTGCAACTTCACAAATTGAAACTTTTGTTTTTCTATAATTAACATTGCTAGCTTGCAATACTAATCATAATTATCATGCTCCCACTAACATGATGATTATTAGCATAACACTTGTGCTCCCACTAGCTCTGACATATTTCCAGAAATCTGCTGGACTTCTGAAATTTAGATTCATACACCCTTTCTTAGATAGCTCACATGTGTGTCTAAACAATTTTCAGAACTATGAAAAGGGATGCCGTAATCATAATCTCAATTTCTTAGACCTTTTCCATTTCTCACAAGTCCATGTTAGTGTGCCGGTTAACCACACACGCTCCATTAACGACTTTTGAAAATGCAAATAACACAATTGATATCTACGTAAAATCTACTTAGTGAAAGCGTTTCCTCACCATCATTTTCATGAATCGGAGAGAAACCTTATGACACTTAGATTTTATAGTGTATGAGTTCCTATCCATGTGAATTTGTCAAAACCATAATCACAAGATAAGGTTAGTGACAAATTCAGCCTT